AGCAGGTAGAAGACACCTCTTAGCAGACGGAGAAGTGGGTGGAAAACAAAGACATAATGGCAGGTGGTGGTAAATGTAGACCGCTTTCCAGAGTCTCGGTGGTGATTGGAAAAGAGGCTGAGAGTGGTTTGCAGGGCAAAGCTGTTCTGTTTCTGTACACAAATGCTTTGGCTGGTGGGAAGAGATGGAGGGGAAAATTGGAAGCATGGGACAGAGACTGTAATGGATAATCTAGAGTCCCAGAGGACACATGAGGATAGTGACTGAAAGCACGAGCTGAGAGGATGAGCTCCCCCTCCTCTAGTGGAAGGAAAGGACAGGAGAGGGATGGTTGTGAGGGATGTGAGAGGTCTGCAGGGTGCTCGTCTGAGGGACTCTATTTTCTTCTGCTGACAGTGAGGGGAGGGATGAGGTGGTGGATGGGGTCTTGGAAGAGATCAAAGGCTTAGATCAGCTCTGGGGACTTTTCTCCAGGGACAGACACTAGCATTGAATTATGCCCATGATCTTTTTGCTGTGTTGTGGAAACTTCCTCACCCCACAACTGAAGAGTAGCACACACCCATGTTTCATCCTCCCCTGACTTCTCACGCTCCCCAGAGCCACCCAGACATCTGGAATTTGTGTGCTGCTATCAGTGATGCACAATTTATGTCCATCCCCTATGGCTGGGGATGTCTACAAAGCATCCATTTATAGTAACAGAAGCTTCAGACGAGGCTGGGGGAGCTATGGCCTGACTGCTGGGGGTGCTCATTCTCCTGGACCACCTGGGAGGAAGATGGTGAGAGCCTTCCTCAAACCCACCATCGGCTCTGCAGATCCAGAAACCATGAGATCAGCACCTCTGCCTCTAGCGCACCCAAATCATCTGCCCCGAGGCTGTGGAGACATTCTCTTCTCACTCAGCAGCTCTGTGTCTGGGACCCCTATGAAACCAGAGTGGCAGCAGATGGGCCAATCCCTGCGCAAGTCCACTGAACCTCACGTGACCCTGCTCCCTCATCTGCTAAACGGGAAGAAGAATAGGGTTGTTCATGTATCATTTAGCACAGTACCTGGAATGCATTGAATGTTACGCAAACACTAGCTATTTTTCACAAGCCCTGGAGGCCAGACATTGACTGCCAAGGGACTCAGTTATAGGTTTATTGAGTCAGTCTGTCTTCCAATTGTCCCCGCACACAGACACTCTGCTCAGTGTACAGTGACATGAAACGATTTGGTGAATATGGGCTCTGGACGAGCCCATCATTCCAAAGAAAAGCTACTCCCCTTACCCCAATTTTCTATGGTCGGGGGCCAGGCCATGCCCCCAGTTTGGAGTGTCAGTTCTGTGGGTGAAATCCTATAACAAAACCTGTGCAGGATTGGCCAAAGTGGTGAGTTTTCTTTGTTCGCTTTGATATTAGCTCCCATTTCCTGGCGCCCTCTCTAGACACAGTACATCTGACCCCGTAAGACACCTTCTAGATCCATTTTACAGATGAGGAAATTAAGACTGAGAGAGTAAGGAATGTCCCAGGCCACACAGCTGCTAACTGCAGAGTGTGGAGCTGGGCTTTGCTCCCTTCCCTTCTCCCTGCCTCCCGCCTCTTCCTGCCTCCTCTCCTTCATACACGGCTGCTCTGCCTGCTCAGACACCCAAGGACCATGGACAGAGAAGAAACAGCAGGCGAGGAAGCCCCAGCTCTGTTCCTCTGTGCGCCAGGGTCCAGAAGAGATTCTCTTCCAGAAGTCCTTCTCAACTTCTCAGAGCTCTTGTCCAGGTTCTTTCCAGAGTCTCAGATGCCCAGAATCACAGATTCTTGGGTCAGAACGGTCAAGTCAGTGTGTGATAACTGTTTGGAGCACCCTCCCCAACCCCGAACCCAAATGGGCTCCAAGGGGTCACTACCTTCTGCAGCAGCTCAGCCTAACACTGAGCAGCTGGTTACTGGAGTGTCTTCCCTACTTTGAGCTAAAAACTCCCCCACCCAGTTTCCCCTCACTAGCCCAGCTTTGGACTCCTTAGGATGCAATGGCAATTGTGCTTTCTTTGTGTAATATCCACATTGCACCACTTCGCCTGGCAGCCAGGCCCCTGTCCACTCTGCTTCATGAATGCTGTAACTTGAGCCTCCCTTCTCAGCGTACTTTTCCGCCTCCCTCCCTGCCTTGGGGCTCTCTGTCCTTCCCCCTCCTCTGCCTCTCACAAGCCTGTTAGAAGCAGAGCTCCCCGGAGTGTGCTGAGTTCTGCAGGAAACGCCCCTTCTCTTTCTCCTCTGCATCCATTAGCTGCTGCTGGGTCAGACATGGATGTCTGGGGCTTCACCACCTTCTCTTCCAAGTTCTATTTTAGGGTGTGGTCTTTGGTTCCTGGCAACCTCTTCTCTAACTCCAGAGAAGTCTAAGGAGCGTGCTGGCCCAGTCAGACCTCCCGCTCCCCCAGGGCTCCACAGATGGGCTCAGTTGGTAGTAAAGGAGTCGGAAGCCCTGCCAGAGCCCTCTTTGCCGGTTCTTCAAGAGGGGCCCTCTCTGGGGTTCCTCCATATCTTGCTTTTTCCCATAGGCCCTACCTTCTTTTCACCATCACCCAATAGCCCCCTCTTCCCTCCCTCTTGTGGGGGCAGCCCCAGGATAACCCTCAGCCTCATTAGTTTTCAGCTCTCCTAACCCAGTGCACTGAAAAAAGCCTCCTACAGAAAAGGCTGTGGGGAGAGCACAGCTCAGACACAGTCCACTGTCAGCAAAATGCCCTCAGCTCTAACTGGAAACCTACATCACCCACTTGACAATTAGGAACAGGTGAGTTTAGCAGATCCAAAACGTCCTCCAGTGCCTGGTGCCAATCCTGTCTCATGGGCCAGGCCCCGAGCCGCTGATGGCCTTGGCTGAGCCCCACCCACATCAGGAGACAGCTGGCCACCCTGAACAGGTGCATCCAAAGGGAAGGAGTCCTCTCCCTCTTGCTAAAAGCAAGGGATACTTTCCCAGAAGTCCTCAGCACACACCCTGTCTGGGCTCTCTGACCAGAACTGGGTCACGCTCTCTCATTCCTAAAGCAGTCTCTAGGAAGGGGAGACTATGGACTAACCTGTGGACTGAACAGACCCTGCCAAGCCAGGCCCAGAAGGAATTTGTATCTTCTGAGCAAGCAGGTGTCAGATACAAAACAAAAATCAGCAGCTATTGGCCAGCAAGAAGCAAGCGGGCCCTGCAGGCACCCAGGGCTTCCGGACCCACGAAGATCACTGGGTTCCTAAGGGACAGGGAGCTGCCAGCACTGCTGAAGCCCAGCCCCCGCAGCTGCATCTGTGCGATTCAGTGTGTGCCACAGAGACCGGAACACCTGCATGCGGGGGAGTGGGTGTGCACGGGTGTCAAGATAGGTCAAAGTTTAAGAAGACTGAGATTGAGTCTGCTAACAGACAACAACTAACTGAGGTAATAAATATGTAAATCATATGCTTATAAACTTGACCTTGAAGACCGCATGAGCACAGAGGTTCTTAAACTCATTCAAGGGGGGAAAATACCAAACAAAAAAAAGTAATCTTTGTGGAATGCCGTGATTCTTGACCAAATTAGTCAATCAAATTAAAATAATTTTAATAGCAAAAAAATCTGTTCATTACATATGTTGAGGGTGTATCATCCTCAACAAAGCAAAATGCAAGCCAGGTGTGGTACACACCTGTGGTCCCAGCTACTCGGGAGGCTGAGGTGGGAGGATGGCCTGAGCCTGGGAGGTTGAGGCCACAGTGAGTCGTAATTGCACCCTTGGACTCCAGCCTGGGAGGCAGAGAAAGACCTTTTCTCAGAAAGAAAAAAAAAAGAAAAAGAAAAAGAAAGAAAGAAAAAGAAAAGAAAAGAAAAAAGCCAAATGGACTGTGCCTGAGTTTTCTGCTACTATTGGCAGATCCCAGCTTTTCATGGTTCAACTTAGGATGGTATGAAAACGATGAACATTCAGTAGAAACTGTACTTCAAATTTTGGATTTTGATATTTTCCTGGGCTAGCAATATGCAGTACGATACTCTTACACAAGATAGTCCACACTTTATTATGACATAAACTTTGTGTTAGATGAGTTTGCCCAACCATAAACAGCACATTTAAGTAGTCCAGGCTAAGGGCTGATACTCAGTGGGTTGGGTGGATTCAGTGCATTTTTAACTTACAATATTTTCAATGTTCGATGGGGCTTTTGGAACGTAAACCCGTCGTAAGTTGAGGAGCATGTGTATTGGGTTTCCTTAGAGGTTTTGTTTTTGTTTTTTTTTTTTTTTTTTCGTTATTTGGTTGTTCTGTTTTCTATCTTATATGAGCAAAGGGGTAAAAAAAAAAAATTCAAAAAACACCTGAGAGGAAAACTAAATCTTACTACCATTCAATTTAGCACAATCCATTAGTAAATTAGAATGAGTGAAAGCCCCCACTGTCCAAGTATAGAGGCTGGGCTCCTTGGAACAGCTCCAGGGACACTCCAAGAACTTTAAAAAACACCAATCCAGCCAAAACTTCCCATTCATTTTCCGCAAAAGTTACCAAGGCTCACAGATGCCTTTGGGTTTCACCAAGGTCACCCAGTTAATTATTGACACAGCAACTCCCCTCGCAAAGAATCAAAATAATCTCCTACATCCCATGTTGGGATGCAGGGTGGGGCCTGAGCTAAGTATGTCTACCCAGAGTCCAAATCCGGGACAGACTTGAAAAGCCTTCTAATCCACCTATACACAGAAGAATGAAGCTTGGAACTCATTTCCAAGTTGTTTCTACTTGTGATTTAAAGACACACCCCTCTCTCCCACATGCATACAAGCACAGACCTGCATGTACACTGTCTCTTCCAGAGCCTGACGCTCCAGGCCCCCAGCACATGTGAAATCCAGGTGTGACTTTCTAGGCATGGCCTCGTAAGGAAGGGCCTGGCTCACTCCTCGGCTCCCTCCTCCCAGCCAGAAACAGTTAATTGCCAGCTCCAGGCTGCCTCCAGCCCAGCCCTAATCGCGGATCTCCGGCTGGGCTGCGCTGAGGCTGAGCAGGGCCAGGCCAGGCTGGGGTTGTGTGAGCAGTGGGAGCATTCTTCCAAGGTAATGATTAAGCTGAGTGCCTGGTAGGGGCACGGGCTGAGAGCCGGGAAGGTGAGTCCTATTCACACCTCGGCCAGGCTGTGGTGGCCAGGACTGGTTAGGGAAGGCAGGGCCCCAATGCGCAGGGGCCTGAGCCAGCAGCCGCAGCCTCCTGCCTGCACAAGGGCGGCTCGGAGCATCTCAGGGTTGGGGCCTTTGCTGTCTGACCTGCCAGGACTTTGTCCTCACCCCCGGCACCATGAAGCTCCAAGTGTTCTGGACTGGGCTGGAATATACCTGCCGGCTCCTGGGCATCACCACTGCTGCAGGTAAGACCCCGCCTCCCGGCTGCTGTTCCTGCACACGGGCACGGCAGATAGGGCTGCCTGAGGGATGAGAGGTAGCTGGGAGACAGCGGGCACATCTGGCCACTTCTGTGCTTCCAATTTTTCCCTAGACTCCCAGAAACATTGCTCTGTAGAGCAGCAGCAGGGGCAGCGGGGCGAGCCTCAGGCCAGGGGCCAGAGGGCTGGGTGCTGGATCTCTTCTTGGCGACTCTTCCTCCCTGTGACCTTGGGAAGCCTCAAGATCCTCATCTGCAAAATGATTCCAGGAGTCCACCCCACCTCCTCAGAGAGTTGTCATGAGGTGGAGGTGGAGACAGAAGGTGAAGGTAGAAAGGTCTGGGCCTCGCTGTGTAGCTACAAAAGGTCACCTGAGCTCATCCTGCTTTACTCAAACCGCAGCCCTGCCTCATGGAGAGGGAATTCCCAGTCATGAGCAGCTCTGCCTTTGGGGGACAGGCTGAGCTAGGCTGCACACAGAAATCACAGGCTTCCCTCAGTCCTGTGCTGGACCCTGTTAACAGAACATTCTGCAGGAACACAGACTCCCATCTGTGGTCTGCACTGTGGTCTTAGCAGCAGAAATGCTTCCCTGTGCTGGGATCCCCTCCTTCACCCAGTGGGATCACAGGGCTGCTCAACTGGCCAGGAGGGCAGACAGTTAGGGCAGAGCCCACAGCCAGCCATCATCCTGAGCCCTGCCTGCTCACTTCCCCAGGGCAGGCCTGACTCTTACCCCCAGACCCCCTAAGGGGCCAGGATCTGTATTGCAGAAGTAAAGAAGCAGCATTCTGAGCCCTTAACTCTGAGCCACATTGTCCCTTGGGGACAAAGAAGAGACACACCCCCTAACAAAGCCCTTCCCCACCACTGGGCAAAAGCTTACCCAAAGGTCTTGCCAAATGGGAAACTTTTCCCAGGTCAAATTCAAGTAGTCCTGGTTCCTGCCCCAGCCGAGTCACTTACCTGATGTATGACCTTGAGGAGCCCCTGACCCCACTGGGACTGCACTTTCCGATCTGTACAATGGAGATGCTGGCCAGGTGTTTGGACAGATCAAGGATGCAGAAATTGAGCATGCCTAAGCAGAACTGAGGATGAAAACCTCTCAGCAGAAGCCCCCATGACACACTCCAGAGCTCAGCTGGGTCATTTCTAGAGCACTGGGCTGGGTTCAGCTGCGAGCTGACCAGTGGGCTCGTCCAGTATCTAGGTTGTGAGTTAGATCATGAAGGGCTGCTGGATGGTTTAACCCCGACCCACCTGCTGCAAGATGGAGCACCTGAGCTCCAATGCAGGTGGTGACCTTGCCCAAGGTCATGCTGCATGTCAGAGGGACAGCCAGCCCGGAGCCCTGGTCCTTCAACTTTCACAAAGGCCAGGGCTCTGGCCAAAGCCTTCCCTGCCTTCCAGAGTAGGAAGCCTGCCCAGCAGACAGCAAGAGGAGGTTCACAATTCCTCTGCTGAGGTTGTGAGTGGAGGCACTGATGAAGCAGCCAGATCCAGCCCCTTTCAGAACCATGCCATCCACACCTACAGGAATAATGCCCAAGGACCCCAACAAGCCATCCTGGGGAGAGGAAGGCCACCCTAAATAGGTTCTCATGTCTGTTGATCTGAGTCCACCCTGCTCCCTCTAGAATTTGGTTTCCAAATCTGTACAATGCCAGGAATCCGGGTTTCCCCAGGCACACTCCACCCCGATCTGAGCCCCACCTCCTGTTGAGAGGCTATTCTAAGATGTATGCACTTATCCTTCTAATGGATTCGCTGGAAACAGTTTAACATCCTGATTTATCTCAGTCAATGGAAGAGTCTGCAGCACATCACACTCCCACCACGCGCAGCATACACACACACACACACACACACACACACACACACACACACGCAGTGCTGATCTTAACCACAGCCTTTATCTCCGCACGGGGGACTGCTGTTAATGCTGAGAATGGACCTCCCTCTTGGTTTTGAGAGGAGATTCAGACTAAAAATAGCCCATGAGGTGCCTGCTAATGGCCAGGCTTTCAAACGATCTTGCTTGGGCTTTCTAGAATGCTGGGAGCGAGCAGGAGGCTAGGGAGAGGGGTTTGGTGTTCTTGGGCAAATCTCGAGTTTCTTCCAGCATCACTGAACTCCTGGCCCCTTTCCAGTACATAAGATTTGCAAATTCCTTATTCTTTTAAGCCTCTTTTTTGTTGAAATCCCCTGTTGAAAAGTCCAGGCTTCAATTATAAGGGCACTGCTGCTAGAGAGGAAATAAGACTGGAAATAGAGGGCCTCACTTTGCAGAAAGCCTAGGGAGGGACCTAAGGTGGCTCCTTGTCTCCTGCAGGTAGGCAGGGTGGATTTGTTAAAAGCTAGAAAGACATATGACCCAAGGGCACTCAGAGTGTCACCTGCAGGGACCAGGCGGCTGCTAAAAGGCTATAGCCTCTCATTAGCAGCCTCCTCCCTGGACTCCCTGAAGACAGGATTGGGGCTGTCCAAAGCACTGAGAGCACCTGGTAGGTGCCTTTGCCAGCATGTCAAGACCCCATGACTGTGGGTGAAGCCACAGCCTTTGGACGAAGCCTCCTTAGGATTCCTCGCACCCCCACCAGCCATTCTTGCCCCCCACCCCGCACAATGTCCAGCCCCACATTACAAGGGGTTCCAGAGCAAGCACAGACAAATCATTGCTGCCACCACATGGGGGTAAACAGGCCAAGGGCTGCTGCACCTGGGTGGAAGCGTTTCTAAAATTAGAAAATTCCCTCCCTTTGCAGCAGTCACGTGGTTTCCAGGCCATCACAGACCACTCCTGCATTGTTTACACCGGGCTCATTCGCATCACCTGTCTGGCCCGGAATGCGGGGGTCGGGGGGCGCACGGGGGTCCATGTGCATGCATACGCCTGTGTGATGTCTAAGTGCCTCAGTTGCTGACACGCGGCATCCATTACTGCCCACAGAGGCAGACATAGCTGGGAAACCACACATAAGCTGCGAGCACCCCACCTCCCGCTGTGAGGATGCTGGGACTCCTGCCTGTCCATCCCTCAAAGCAGGTTCTTCCGGCGTCCACTGGAGACAGGGTAAAGATGTCCTGAGTGCGAGACTCAAGCCCCAGAGGAGGCTCAGCCCTGTGACAGGTTCTCAGCACAGACCAAATGGCAGGAAAGGGGGCCTGGGAAATGCCTTTAACTGAGCCTGGAGCACAGCAGTCCAGGGCACTCCTCCTCTATGAGATGAGAAAGGGCCTGTCCCACAGCACTGGTCCCAGGGCTGGCTTCCCTTAGAACTTCAGCCTTCCTCTTTCCCTTTTACCTCGGGGGAATCGCAAACAACTGACTCGCCACTCCCCAGCCCCTGCCGCAGTGGCCAGGGAAGAGAATGGGAAGAGCCCCCTGTGTGGACAGAGGATACACCTCTCAGGCCCTCCAGGCTGGGCATGGAGGGAAGGGCAGACATGTCCCTGGGCCCTGCCCTGCAGAGAAAGCCTTCCCCTCCAGGCTGTGCCCTCACTCGCAGATGCGCATGGGCTTCCCCAAAAGAGGCTTGCTCAGAAAATATCTCTGGGCACTTGAGCAAGGCCTCCCAACTTCCCTCAGAACAAAGAGACTCCAGCTTGGGTCCCCACTGACCCCACTTCAGGGCTGTATTTCACTCTCCCAGCCTCTGCCCAGAGCAGGGGTAGCTGAGAACGAACATGATTATTTGAGTAAATAACGTGGCCCAAGCTTTGCATGCACTATGTATTTTAAATGCTTCCAAGGAAATTTGGGAGTATCTCATTTCATTACAGTATCTCATTTCATCCTTCTAACTGTCCTTGGAGACATCATCATGTTCATCCTCATACCCACTGTACAGAAAGGGAAACCAAGGCTTGGTGGGGTGAAGCACCTTGCTCAAGGTCTCACACCAGGAAGCAAGAAGGCAAAGTTCCACCTGATGGTGGTCTGGTCCTGGGACCCCACTCCTAATCGCTGTTTCCTCCACCTGAGTCAGGATTTAAAAGTATGTCTCTTTGTATTTTGATGACCCACGATGCAGGATGCAAAACACACAGAGGAGAGCAGGAGAGGCTTGATCAGAACTGCCCCATCCTCTACCCTCATGCTCCTGCCCTTGGTCAGTTCTGATCAGGCAGGTGGGGTCATGGTGAGCACACAGGTCCACTAGAACACACAGTCCAGTATCACCAAACACTTCTTAAATTTCAGGAGACTGATAGTCAATGCAGCTGTCCATTCTCTGTCTCAAGATTGCCACACGTGCTTTAACCAGCACCACCATGACTTTCTCCAGCCAAACCTGCTTCTGGACCCCATCTGGAGACAGTCAAATCTGCACACATTTCCAAAGGGAACTATCACGGTAGCGCTTGCTTTGATGGGTCCAGAGGTGCAGGGCTGACAGCATGCTTTATGTTTGTAGTCTCACTCCAGCCCCACAAATGCCTCTGAGGCTGTCTGTCCCTCAGAGCAGGTCCTCCCCAGGCTGAGTTCAGTCCCATTTTACAACTGAGGAAATGGAAGCTCAGAACATTGAGGTAGCCTGGCAGAGGTCACATGGGCATGAGACAGAAGTCTGGTGTTGGAACTCCACTCTGCCCAAACAGGGCTGTGCTGTGGCAGCTCCAAAGCAAAGGGCATAGCAGAGCCAGCGGGGACATGAAGGGGTTGGAGACAGAGCTGTTCTGAGCAAACTCTGCCTGTCAGGCTGACATGCTGTTTCTCACAAATTGAGTGCTTGGAATCAACCTGGGATCACTAAGGGGTTCTGTTTTGTTCTGGGTTTTGACCCATTAACCCGTTTCTCTATGTAACAGACAAGGCCACATTTTCAAATACTCCTGTGCTTCCCAAGCAGTTAGAGCCTTGGTTTATTAACGCAGATTAGGAGAAAAGAATGATTTAAAACCCAGCTGTTCTCATTATATTTTAAAGGGTACACCAAATGCATAGTTTGACCTTAGCCCTGTTCAAAGCCTTCAGGAAA